TCATCTTCTCGTCCTTGTCTGTATCATGTTTTGGACGATTTCCAAGAGGAACAATGTGGTCACCCCTGGTATTATTATCTTTGGCGGAACTACCCCCCAGCATTGTTATCTGTAGGGGGTGCATTTAAACCACCCCTAGTATTTTTAGGGGGTGCGTCGGCCATGATGATTTCATCCACTTCTGGATCGCTGTCAACTGCGGCGTTCTGGGTGCGGCGGCTGGATGCACCAAGTTGATTGGACAGAGCCTGCATCTGTAGGTCATGCTCTTCCTTCATCTGTATCATTGCTATTTCTAATTCGAACTTGAAGTTCTCTTTTTGCTTAGCCAAAGTATCCTCGATGATCCTTGTCATTTGCTCCGCGTTGATCATGAACACCTCACGAGATTGTCCTATGTTGGACACCGTATTATCAGAAGCGATGGCAGAGTTCGCATCTGATGCTTCATCATTAGAGGATAATCCGCTATTCATCCTCTGATAGTCCATACACCTAGTAGTTCCTGTGCGTAACCAAGTTATACGTTGGGATACGTCCGAAAAATAACGAGAACTAAAACTTCGCGTTGACTTCCCTTCATCAGCCATATTGATAGTGACCTCTGGGAGTTCGTCGTCTCGCGCAGCTGATCATTTTCTATGGAAATGCCTTAGCTTGGTTAACGACGCTTCATATGGAAGCCTTTGGAATACCGAGACCCTCTGTGGAGCAGTTTTGGGGCAGCTACATGCTAATAATACTGACCTGATAATTTTAGTACACGGACAGTAAAAATCCACTTTCCGGGTACCTCTCTTTCGAGATTTATTCGTACCCCCGGCCCGATAGTACAACTCATCGACGTTGCGGTCAGAGTAACCTATCGGCTATTTACATGAATTCTCAGGTATAACACGTTTGTCTGCTTGACGTGTTTTCTTTTGAGTAAACAACGCCTTGTTGGCGTCTACATGAGTCACTCATTTGGAATCACACTTTTCTGAGGATGAAACCTTAACGGGCTCCTGGCCTTCTGTACGCACCCCCAAGTGGGCGGTTACAGGAATTAACTTGTTAGGTGGTCACGTACGACCCCTAGTCTGGATGTTTGCTCGGGGTTCCTTCAATGGTCCTAAGCGTTCCTTAACAGACGCCATGCCTCGATCTTCGAGTAGAGAACCGAGGTGATTTTTCAATGGAATTCTAACTCTGGAGAGGTCCATACCACCATAGGGTTCTACCGGAGGTGTGGGAGCAGAAGGAGCGGGATCCGAAGTTGACGAAGGCTGAGGAGCAACGTCGCCTGCTTTTGCCTTAGGCGTTGATTTAGCCTTTGGCATCCATGTTTGTTTGGATCTCGGTGATCTCTTAACCGCCTCTTCCTTTTGCATTTCTTGTGCTTTTCACACTAGGTTCTGGGCATACGCAAGAAGTGCGCGACGCTTATGAATGCGCTCCTTAAGAGTAGAACGGTTTCATTTGACACGAACCCATTCATTAGTAGATGGTTAGGAGGAAGTTCCCGAAGCTTGCTGCTGGAACACTTGGCACCTTCTGAGTTTAAGATCCGCATTATAGTAGATCCCGTAACCAGGCTTCAAAGCCTTGGCAAATTGGCGCGCGAGATATTGACGGCGCCTTTGGTGAGCCCTCTTCGTCAGCACTGGTGCACTTTTAACGTGCAACTCTTTGACTTTCGAGGAGTTGTCACGAACGTTGGATCTGGTTTCTTTGGAGGCCGGAGAGGGGTCTTCCACTCCATTCGGGTTCAGATCATCAGCCTTGGTCTTCGGATCTGAAGGCATGTTCATCGTGGTAGTGATTTTCCTGCATTTGCAAGAATAAGATCTAGAGGAGGAGGAAATATATTCCTTGAATTTTTGCTGGTCGAATTTGTATTCGACCTCTTCGAACACCGGGATCTTGATCGTTGGCTGCGGCATGATAGCTTCGGCAGCGAAGCTGTTGGCTCCCACTATGGTCGCCAACTTGTTTAGGAAGAAAATTGGTTTCTTCATTAAGATACTCATTACAACTTCAGTCATTACAATGAAAATACAAAAAAACAATAGTCTTTTTATAAGACTTTTACACAATGAAAATACAATTCTCATCAAACAGCGCAGAGATCGTTTATCGGTCTTCTGCTTGCGTGGGATCTTGGTCTGTAACGGGGACGTTGATATCCATTGACCACCAAACGATCAGATCAAATCCAGAGCTTCGTCGATTCGCGAAGGAATCAATAAGTCGAAGCGCATATCTCGGCAACAGCGAGATAATTGCTTTTCTTAAGATCACCATAATAGGGTAATCTTAAGGACGAACCGGGCTGTAGATCTGACGAACTCCTCTTCTTTATACCGAAGAATCCGCTGAAGTCTCCTCCTCCTCTCTGAAATTCGTGGCTCTTCAGTCCTCAATCCGGCAGGGCTTTGCTAATGCTCGAGAATTCCAGATCTTGAAAAATGAAGGCCTTGGGGCTGTATTTATAGGCTTCAGGAGCCCTGTGTTTCGATAAGATCGTGTGTTTGGATAAGAACAGTTGATTCCCTCTTATCTTCAGTTGAAACTACCTAACCACATTATCAGATCAGTTGAAACAAATTCAGGTGGTTAAAGATCAAAAAATCGCCGAAAACAACCAAAATCAACGTTTTTTGTATTGCGGACACTTCTGAGTGTCTTGGCCAAGCCAAGACACTTGAGAGTATCTCGGCCAAGCCGAGACACCGAAAACAACCAAAATCAACGTTTTTTGTATTGCGGACACTTCTGAGTGTCTTGGCCAAGCGAGACACTTGGAAGTGTCTTGGCTTGGGCAAGACACTTATAAGTGTCTTGGCCAAGCTAAGACACCACGGGGTGTCTCGGTTTAGCTTTTTCTGGTTTTGGCACGTCGAGTTTGTTTTCACTGTAAATTAGTCGTCCGGACTCGGAATTACGTGGTTCAATATGCGTTGGAAAGCTGACGAGAAGATCTACAGGCTCCCATGGTTGAATCATATGTGGAGTAAATAGGACACGAGGGTAATCCGCCTTTCGTAAACGACGCGGGGCTCCCGATCAGCTCTTATTCCCGTTATTCAGAAGTTTCGTTGCTTCGTATGGTCCGTCGACTTACTTCATGTGTTTGTCATCGTCAAATGAGCTCCTATGACTCGGATAGCGATGTTCATCATCTTCTCTCTATTTCGAGCCATGTGTGGGGACCTATAGGTAATTTTTTACGCCTATAATACACATTACTTGTGAACTTTTAACCATACTTGTTAGTGTTTGTGTATAACTATTAATATTATGTTGTGTATGTTAACTTAAGAGCATATGTGTTAACTTTCGTTTGTACAAGTCAACTTATGTTGCAAATTGTTAACATTTTGCTCTTTCATGTTAATTTTCATTGGTACATGTCAACTTTTATTACAAACTGTTAACATTTGCTCTTTCATATTAACTTTCATTAGTACATATGAACCTTTATTGCTAACTGTTAACATTTTCTCTTTCATGTTAATCTTTGTTTGTACATGTCAATTATTATTAACAACTGTTAACTTTTGTTTCTTACTATTATATTTTAGGAGGTTTATTATTGTCAATACTTCGAACAATAGTATTCATGCTGTGGAGCTTCTGTATTTGCTTCAAGGAGGCCATCTTGATGACCATACTAGTTTAATATGTTATATATATGCATAGCTTACTTTTATGTTTTATTGTTATGTGTGGTAACCTTCATTCTTGCATGGTAATTTTGTAGGTCACAGAAGCCTTGATAGATACAATAAGTGCATTTTTAAAGAGACCAAAAAATACCTCACTTAGTAAGAAATATAGAGTCGTATTAACTTACTTTTTTGTAAGCACTAAATTAAACCCCTAACTATCTTCACATCTTGTTAATAATTGACTAACATTATCTTATTTGCAATACAACATAGTCTTTATGCCAAGACTCTTGATTTTTCATATCTGTACACTTCATTTATACAAAAGCATATTCCTATAAGCAAGAGTATACTCCTTATCCCCCTTGTGCTAGGACCACTTGCATGTTGCCGAAGTCAGGTTGGATGAGGACGTTGTTAAGCACTATAGCTCATCTGATCATAGTGCTTACATTGAATTAGTGAATAAATTAATCAATTTCATGGATCATATGAAGTCTAGATTTGATCCGCATAATGTTTGGAGGAAGTATAGATATGAAGCCATCCCTTGCGAGCAACAGTCTGGATTACTAATATTTTACAAGTTTAATCTTTTCCATTTTATCTAATAACATATATCTAACTAGCTTGCTATTCTATATAATGTAGTTTTGATTGTGGGATTTATGTTCCCCTGTACACGAGGGCCATACTCCTTGGTGTTGATACAAAGCAAATAACTACTCCCAACGATAGCTGAGCTTCTTATAGAAGGATGAGGACAGAAGAATCAAGCAGAGCCATTAGATCAGGATAGAGAGAAAGTTGTTTCAAAAATTGATTGATTAGTCTTACAAACTTACATATGTTAATGCTTGAATACAAAATTTGAATAGTCTTATTATTCCTAGCTGAAGTATTATTCACAATTGATTGAATACACAAACCGTATTGCTCTACCAAAAGTGTTATTACTTGTAACAATCCATATTAGTCAATAATATTGGATAGGTTTTTCTCATCGAAAGACTTCGTACATTTGTTGTTGATATCACATCTAATTAACATGTATCTCCAAGAGTTAACAGATTTCCACGAATGTTAACAGGAAAGCCTAAAAGTTAACAGTTTAAGCTAAAAGTTAACATAATATCGAGATAGTTAACAAGCAACCAAATAGACAACTTTAGTGAAACAAGTACATTATACTAAAATTCTTACATTATTACAGCTGATATTGCTTGAATACACAATGTGATTAGTCTTACATTCTCACATATTACAAAAGTATTCCACAATGTGCTACAAAAGTATTCACAACCTACATTTCTCTATTAAAAGTATTGTACTAATAAGCAATCCGCACTAATCACCAATTGGCTCATTGCAAGTAGCTCGATTGTGACCCTCAGCTTTGTATCGAGAACATTTCACTACACATTTGTAAATGGCTCTGTTGTTTATACTTCTAGTTCTATTTCTTCCCTTTCTTTTAGTAGTAATTGGTGGCAATATATCGATTTCATCTCTTGGCACACTTTGCTCCTCATAATCTGAAATGGAAAAAAGGACTTGGTCATAGCTCTTTTTAAATGCTTCTACGGACATAAACCAATCACGATATTGGTATACATCTTTCTTCATATAAATAATAACTGCACAAGCATGCTTACACGGAATACGTATTACGTCCCAAGCTCGGCAAGGACATGTTTTCTTCTCCAAATCAACATGTGTAGTTCTATGTGATTGCACTTCAAATATTATATCTCTGGATTGTTTAACATCCAAAGTACATCCCTTTTTAATATTTTCTTTAAGAACCTGCTTAGCTTTAGTCCAAAGATAACCATTCCATTTTTTAGCCATTATGCGTCTATTGTTCATGCGAACCATAACTTGTTTATTATATGCTCCACCATTTGTAGTACACGTAATATTCGAGCTTCACGTATCCGCTTGTTAAAGGACTCCGCCACATTGGAGGTTACATGACCATATCTTCAAACATCAAAACAATAACTTGTATAAGTATAGTTCTTAAAGTATATAAAAACATTAACATATAGCTATAAAACCTAATAGTTAATAATGAAAGTTAACATATAACACTGAAATGTCAAACATACAAAGGTAAGTTAACATCTACCACTGATAATTAGCATCTATGCATGAAAGTTACAAAATATAATTGAACACTAACATTTACTGTAAAACATCATAATGATTTATGGTGGTACCTAATTCCAGGGAAGAATGCATTTGCTCACCGATCTAGAGAGTAATTAATTACAATGTCATATGTTGCTGGAGATATCTCATAAATATCTTTCATAAAATCATTTCATTCTGATTTAGTATATTTATAACATGCAGATTGGAGCAAATTTCCCTAAGCTTGTGTGTCCTTTGACTTCATTCCCAAATCCTTTAGTTTTTTTCTAAAATTTTCGACCAGATGTAAAACACCCCTTGAGTGAATTGCTTCAAAAAAATGTTCTTTCACAGCTTCTCTAATTTCCTTGTTGGCATAAAAAATTATTACCAATTGGTGGGGAGGATTGTATGGGTTTGACCTTTCATACATTATGTACCATAAACTTTGTAGGAACTACATCTAATTAACTACATGTTCCTGATCGCATATGCAATAAGCTACTGGAAATATCCCTTAGTCACCGTCGTATGCAATGATGCTAAGGAGCATGTCTCTATATCTGTCTTTCAAAAAGGTCACATCCAAAAATAATAGGGGTCTATATCCATTTAAGAGACTAATGATGTAAGCAGCTTAATATATGAATAGTCTTATAAACTTTCCTTCATTCTGTTCGATACAAATGTAGCTTCTTGGATTTATTTCCTTTACCACGTGCTCATACCTATACATCAATGTCATCATATTTCAGGTCAATATAATACATTGGAGGAAATATGAAATAATTTTTTAAAGTTAACATCTAACCGTGAAAGTTGATAGTTATCTATGAAACATAACATCCAACTATGAAAGTTAACATATATCAATGAAACATAACACCCAATGTGTAAGGTTAATATATTGGACAATAAATCAACAACTGAAATTGTACTATAAGCATCTTCTACAAAAAAAATTATATATTCAATAACAAATTTGTAAAGTTTACCATCTTAGTTGATCGTAAGACTCATAACTATCACCATACAACTCCTATTGTACTCTTTCTTTGCCTCACCATAACTTACTATATTCAATTCTTAATCTATACCGAGTGAGAAACTCCTTTTGCCCATCAACTGGATGGATTTCAGGCTGAACCTTTAACACAGGTTGCAATTAGGCTGCTATGAATTTGCAAGATGCCCATGATTGTCCTGACAAGTTAGTATGTTGTCCACAATTGTGTTCATTCATAAACCTCTTGATTTCAATTCTATATTCATTTTTAGCAGGAGAGGCAAATAGTATCCAAGGGTATCCATATGTTTTCTTATATCGACAAGAAACTCGGATATGTTTGGGTTCATTCTTTGCAAATTCAAAATCAAACGTTTTTGTAATAGAATAGTATTGTAAAGCTAGTCACAATTCGTTTACACTATCAAATTGTTGGCCCCTTTCAGTTAATGCTTGTGGCACCATTGAGGAATGATGGAAGTGTTGTTGAGAATATCATTAGATCCTATTACACATTCTCACCAGACGGGCAATCATTTCGGATCTTCTCTGAATTAAAAGTATTTCCTGGAGAAGGATTACTATATACAACATTCAAACAGGTATCACTGCTACACAAATTAATGAATCAGTGAGATATAAAATTCAACTATAATATTATCTTTTGATATTTTAAATTAACAACTTGTTTTATAAGTTAATAGGTAACTTTGAACGATAACTGACTAGAAGAAATGTTAATTGGTTTTGGTAAAACTTAACGTAGAGTTGTGAAAGTTAACATACTGTAGCAAAAGTTAACAGACTAGAAGGAAAGTTAACATGTTCAGTTAAAAGTTAACATGTTATTGTGATAGTTAACAAAAAATCCTAAAAGTTAACATGTTCTAGTGAAAGTTAACTGATAGCTATGAAAATTGACAAACAACTAGAAAAGTTATCATGTAACCATTAAAGTTAACAATTATGATTCGTCTATGCTTTGAAACTTGAAATCACAAAGCGTACATCATACAAAGTCTAATTTTAAAAAGAGTTTATTAATTACTTACATTTTAGTTAAAACTTTCTGATTTTTTTAGAAGTAAAACCCTTTATATTAACAACAGCTTGCATAGGAATCTCCATATAACCAATATTTCAATTATGCTCCACCATACACTTCAAATCCTCTTCATTATCAACTAAAAAACTCAGATTTGGGTGTCTCTCAGATTTATATATCAATGGTAACTCATCTTGATGTACTTTTAGTCTTTCATACACATCAAATTTTAGTTCATAAAAGCTTGTTGTAGAACTTAGTATTGAGAATATAGCTTTCTCGCCTAATGATACCATGCAAATAAAGTCTTTGGTGGCCATAGGGGGTTGTTGAAAGTTATGAGGGTAGTTATGAGGAGTAATTAGGGAAATTTTTATGACATAAGGGGTTGTTGAATGTTGAAGAACTAAACCCTAATATCATAAATGAGAGAGTGAGAGATTAAACAATAAGATAGGGAACATATGATGACTTAGAGGAGTAATGGAGGGATGTCATGCCTTTTCCACTCCATTATTGACGTTGCCTCACATTAACTGCAATGTCCTCTTCCACCAGCTACTTTGGGTTACCATGGTGGCTTCATAGTTGAGAAGAGGGTATTTTTGGAAGACCATCTCAAATACAACCCATACATGTATAATAATGAGCTTTTGTGGCTGGTCCATACTATTTTTGGTCTTTTGAGGTTAAAGCATATGAGAAAAACTTCATGGTACTAGGCCACATGAGGTTTCTTGTTTTGGGGCCTTGACACATCTTTTTGTTGATCTTTTCCGATTATATGTACATAATTTGGATTTCTTAATTTTTTTTTAATTTTTTGAATTTTTCTTGATTTTTAAGGGCTGTTTTTATATTTTTTTTCTTTTGATTTTTATATAAAAAACAAAACAAAAAAATTTCTTTCTTTTTTTGTTTTCCTTGAAAAATATAAAAACTTTGGATATGCCTATGTATATGCTTTTATAAGATTGATTCAAATAATATTATCTTTTGGTATATAGACTTGATTATATCACACATGTTCACATATAGTTTACAAATCTATTAATATAAGTATTTATGCATGCAATGATGAAAATATGACTACTTGACGCATTGTTTCTCGAGATATTTCATGTTATATTTTCACACACCTAGTTTTATACTTATCAAGTTTAGTAATGTGAAATGGGGGGAAAAACTTTTTATATTTTGTCTATAAGATATTTTTGGAATATAACAAGAGTTTTTGAGCTTGTTCTTTTTCGATAATGCATAAATCTATTCTTTACATGTACAAATGTGCATTTATGCTTAAATATATGAAACAAAAGGCCATATTCATTAAAAGATGATCAAAGGTCCACACTCTTATGAAATTAACAAAAAATTGAGTGTTTATTTGTTAAAAGATAGTCAAAAACCCACACTTGTGTATTATTTTTGAGAAAGTCTCAAATGGTAGCCATCTTGTACTGAATACTTTTATATTTATAAATGGTGTGAATCTCCCGTCAAACATTATCGTTCTTTCTCTTAAATTCCATACAGTTGAGGTGATAGGGCGATACTTTAGTCCTTAGTTTCTAAGGTTGAGATAGTTAAAGTTTTATTATTTCTCATTTTTCTCTTTGATATTTATGAATTTGTCTAATGAAATAGTATGATTTTTTTACTATTAATTTCATAAACTTTTTAATGACATTTAATCTTTTTATGTGTGATTTTTATGTGATTTCTCTTGTATTCAAGTATTTTGTGATTATATTTTAATCCATTATGCTATTTTCATATGAATAGGTGTGTATTTCTCTACCTTACACCTTTAAATAATTTTTTATTTGTTAAAAGATAGTCAAAGACCCACACTGGTGTATTATTTTAATTTTTTTGAAAACTCTCGATACCTTGCTTCAGGGGACTTTTGACAATACTTGTGTTTGATTACACTTTTCATGGATGTATGAATGTAGGGAGAGCATTCTATATATGTTCTTTTTACATGAAAGTGTATTTGTGCTTCTTGTCATTGTATATAAATCTCAAATATGCATATATTCAGGTATTTCAAATTTTAAGTTTGTAATTAACAAAAGGGGAGAGATTGATAGGATGTAGTCCGTACAATAGCCCATGTTTGAGTAATAACTAACTTTTATTTAATAATAATATTTGTTTAAGATGATATAGTTCAGGTGAATACAGGTATAAGACGTATACGAGCCAAAATGACACGAAAATCAGGACAAACTCTAATTTTAATTATCAAACCATTGATAGGTGTCAGGAACCCATCGATGGGGAAGAGGTTGTTAATGGTTTGCAGGAACAAATTGTATATTTTTAAGAATAGGATTTTAACCCATCAATGGCTTATATGCACCCATCGGTGGTGCTCAAAAACACATTGATGGTCGTGAGTAACCATTGATGGTGATGACGACAAATTAATGATTTAATCACAACTATTCATTTATCCCTTTCATCTCCGACTTCCACTATGATTAGGGAATATCTTTCCTAATTAATTAGAGGTTACATAAGATTGAAAGAGCTAAATTAAAGGGGAAAGCTTGAATAGAATTCTAGGGTTTTGATTGAAGAAGGTAGAATTCGAGTTTTGAACCCTTGGAGCCTCAACAAACTCTTTCTCATCTTGCTTATCATCTTTGGATCATC